CAGAAGAGAAGCCGGTGTTCAGCATAAGCCATATTGTTTGTACACACAGTTTAGACCCTGAATCAGCTACTCATCAGTTAATGGTTAGAACGCTCCTAAAAACCTCTGTTCCCAGATACCAGCCCAGGGCCAACTTTATAAGCAGGCCCTTCGAAGGATAACAGTCAGGATGGCTGTGGTAACTGTTCTGCATGGGTAGGAAGATTATCATCATCCCCACTTTGGAGATGAAGAATCTGAAGACAGGAAAGTGAAGTAACTTGCCTCAGGAACCACAGCCAGTACGTGTCCCACCCAGGCCAGCTGGTTCCAGAGCCCATGCACCTAGCCATTCTCCAGTGCCACCTTCCTGATTATTCAGACAGGCATTGGTAGGAGTTTGCAGGGGACAAAGGAATCCTGGGATGAGGGGCAGCTGTGCAAGGCACAGAGAGAGCTTAGTGTCTTGGAGAGATGGCTCAGACGTGGGGGGGCGGGGGGCCTCATGGAGATGCATGTAAGTGAGGGTCAGCAATGGAGGGCCTGGAGTTACAGGAAGACAAGGTTGTACTTCTCCCTGTGAGCATGGGGCCCGAGGAAGGCAGAAGGAGGGGCCAGTAGTTAACATTATAGGATTGGCCTTTTACAAGGATCACTATCACCTGGAAGACCCAGTTCATTTTTTTGTTTCTTTGTTCATTCATTTGTTAAAATGCTAGCCCTAGAACTAAGTCTTTTGTGGTCTTGGCCAAATCTCTGACGCCTTGCACACCTTGGGGCTGTCGGCTACGGAATGTGGGCGCAATGCCTGGCCTGCTCTACCGCGTGGCTGTCCCAGGGCTCTGAGGGTGAAGCACGGGCCAGGACAGCAGGCTCATGCTGAGAAGATGGGCTGCTGAGCGGGGCAGTCTGAAGGACTGGGCACTGCAACTTTCCAGCCACTTCCTTCCCAAAAGCTACTTGTTCTGTCCTTGGAAGGCGAGCTCTGCCTGCCCCGGGCTGGAACTAGAAGCCCCTGCTTCAGGCAGCTCGGGGGCCTTGCCCATGGCCTCCTCTGAGGATTAGAGGGGAGCTGGTCCCCTCCCCACGCTAAGAAGAGCCGTAGGAGCAGTATTGTGCTTAGCTGTGCCCCCCTCCAGGGACTGCGCCCCTCTTTCCCGAGAGGCAGTGGGGGGCAGTGAGGTCGGAGAGATGTGCTTTTGAGTCCCACCCCTACCCTTTGGTTGCTGTATGATCTTGGGCAGTCACTCAGCCTGTCTGGGCCTCAGTTTCTGTATCTGAAAATGAGATAACAGTATCCACCGGTGTGAGGGTCACGAGACTCCAGCGTCCATCCCGGAGTTCCCAGCCGCAGTGAGCCGGAGACTGTGCACGACTGTGACCTAAGGAGGCCTCAGCAGCTAGGGTCTCCATTAGGAAACACTCGTAGCTTTTGTTTTTCAGAAGAACTGGAACCTCAGAGTTGGGAGCAGGCGATGGACAGGAAATTGAGGGGATAGCATTGAACTGGGAGTCCAGATGCCTGGGTTTTAGTTTCAGCTCTGCCACTGACTTGCTGTGTGCATGGGAGCAAAATACCTGTCTCTCTGGGCCTCAGTTTCCTCAGCAATCACCTGGGGCCCAACTGACTCAGAACTGAGTTTCAGAAGTACAGAACGGGGTATTTGAAGGTAGTGGTAGCGTTCTGAACTGGCAGCATTTTCAGCGAGTGCTAGTGTCCCCCTGGACGCCTGAGTTGGCGTGAGGGTGGGAGCTCTTTCGGGGGGTCTCATGCAGTCCGTCGCTCCAGAAACCCTCTGTCGTAGCACACCGCCTCTTCCCTTGTCCTAATAGGTGTGTCCTTTTAGGAGAGAATGGCCTGCTGTCTCTCTTTAAATCATCGAAGTAAAAATAAAAACCACTCTTGATCCAGACATTGGAAAATTCCACTATTAACGTTTCGATTTTAACCCTTCATGTGTTTTTCTCTCTGAATATGTTTATTTGTTTCTGCTGGGTTTTAAGGTTCATATGTGACTGTCTGAGCGCACAGTCCTAGCCTAGCGATGCAGGCCAGATTCCCAGGCGTACTTGGGAGAGTGCCATGCAACCAGCTTTGGGGCCCGGGGACAAGCTCCCACTGCCTCTGGGCCCTCTGGGCAGGGGTGGTAAGGACCTGCTCAGGCTGGGCCATATGGACTGTGGAAAGACTGGAAATTCCCTCCTGAACTAGAGGCAATTGGGGAAATAATAATAAAACCCCTGTGCAAGCCTCAATTAAACACCAACTGTATGCCTGTGATATGCTTCCCTTTGTATACCCGTCATTCACAGTATTCAGCAAATATTTATTGAGTGTCTCCCACTGTGTACCAGGTACTCTTCTAGACTCTGGACACATGGGCAGAGAACAAGGCAGATAAGAGTTCTACCCTTGGGGCGCCTGGGTGGCTCAGTTGGCTTAGCCTCTGCCTCTGGCTCAGGTCACAATCCCAGGGTCCTGGGATCGAGCCCCACATCGGGCTCCCTGCTCAGCGGGAGGCCTGCTTCTCCCTCTCCTACTCCCCCTGTTTGTGTGCGTGTGTGCTCTCTGTCAAATAAAGAAATAAAATCTTTAAAAAAAAAAAGAGTTCTACCCTTACAGGACTGAAATTACAATAGGGAAAAAACACGTGTGTGTGTGTGTGTGTGTGTGCGTGCATCTAGGCCTATGTGGAAAACTAAAGCAGTGCAAGGGGCCAGGGGTAATTGAGGAAGAGCAGGGTGGGAGCTATTACAGTTAGCTATGAGAAGGGAAGGAATGGCCCATGCAGATATTTGGGGGAAGGCCGTTCAAGCAAATGACAACAAAGGCTTTAGCTGTTTGGAGTAACAGCATGGAGGCCAGTGTATATATAGCACAGAAAGTGAGGTTGGAGAGGTAGCAGGGGGCCAGATCTCGTATGCCCAGGTAAAGACCATGGTTTTATTCTTATGGAACCATGGGAAGGTTGTGAGCAGAGAAGTAGCACGATCCAAATTATATTGTAGCTTCCATAAGAAGAGATCATCCCAGTTTATGAATGCTCAGACAGACTCACCTGCCCAATGGCAGGGGCAGAAATGAGGCCACTCTGAAGGGCTTCCACACCCCTGCAGTTCCCCTCAGACACTGTGCGAGGCCCTGGGACCATGAACACCACCAGAACAGCCTGGGCACCAGGCAGCTCAGACCTCTCTGGAAGGGGAGGTCCCCACCACCACAGCAGGACTCAGTGGTTCCGGCTGCTAAACAGTGTTGCCTTGTGCTCTCACTGTCCCCGAGGACGCTCATGAAATGACACATTGGGAAAGTATTTACAGCCCCTCCTCATTCCCATCTGTAAGGCTGGCTGGGGGACAAACCCCCAGGCTGAGCAGTGACACAGGGTTATGAGGCCCTGAGCTCTGGGGTCAGACAGACCCTTCAACTTTTCGAAGTGGTGGAGCCACTTGCTTACTCTGTGAAAGGACCTTCGAAAAGTTACTTCTCTGAGCCTTTGCTTTGCCAGCCTACAAAGCAAAGATGATAGCACTGACTTTGTAAGATTGTTGTGGGGAGTAATTAGATAATATGGTGTTCTAGAACAATGAATAAGATATGGTGGATGTAGAGTAGGTTAGCATTAGTACTTTCATAATATTTCTTAGTATTAGTACTCATGCTACATAAATTACTACTAATATACATCAATTAGCATTAGTAATTTTTGTTCAGCCCTTCTAAATTCTTCCAGCATTACTCTGTGGGCCCTACATCCACTTTGTGAACTTAGTATCATCATCCCCATTTTACAGATGAAGGAAGTGTAAAATCGGAAGAGGTTGCAGCTCTTACACAAAGTCACACAGCAAGAAAGAGGCAGGAATGGGACTTGAATTTGGGTTCTCTGGTTCCCAAGACCTGGTCAAAGTGGGCAGGAAGGTCCCTCGCAGGGCTGGACTCAAAAGCTAGCTCTCTGCAGGTAGCCATTCCTGGAGGTGGACACAGCAGGCTGAAGCCACACTGGCTTGTTTAACATGATGCCGTACACGGTTTTCAAGTGAGGGGGCAGCAGTCCTAGAAAATACCAGAAAACAGGATCCAGCACACCCAAGTGTGAACCATACCACTTAACAGGCATGGCTGAGGCCAGAAAGGGCAAGTGCGTCTCTCCTCATTCTGCGTTAGAAATAGTAATGTCACAAAATGCTGTGCTGCCCTTGTTCTTGAGGGGGCCAAAGCCCCCTCCTCTGTCTTCTGAGGGGTGCCAGCCTCACCACTCAGTCATCACTGAGGTCCCTGCTCTGCGGAAGCACCTTGGCCCTCTAAATGTCATCAGCATCAACCTGGGGGCTTGTGAGAAACGCAGATCTTCAGGCCCCACCACCACCTCCTGACTCCGAATCTTTGGGGGTGGGCCTCCGCAAAGCGCAGCTCTCCAGATGATTCTGATGCCTACTCGAACTTGAGAACCACTGCTTGAGAAGAAAATGGCCCCAAACGCTTGTCTTTTTTTTTTTCCTTTGGACTCACAAAGTATCTTCAGCTGTTGTTTAAACAGACGTACACCGTCTCAAGTAGAGAAAGCACAGGCTTTGGAAACAGATAAACCTGAGTTCAGACTCCTGAATTTAGCCTCACTAGCTGGTAACCTTGGCAAATCCTGTCACCTCTCCACATGTCGGTGTCCTCGTCTGTAAAATGGGGGCATGCCTTCTAGCCTATTTTGAAGATTTGAGATGAATGGATGTAACATGCCTAGCTCAGTGCCTGAGACATCATCAGTCTTGATCAGGGGAAGCTGTGACTGGGTGGCCATAACCATCAGACATTCAGGTTCGTATGGAGAATGCTCCCTCTGGATGCTCTGCGCCAGGCAGACCCCTTGCACATGTGGCTTGCACCAAGACCCATCGCCTGGCAGCCGTGTCCCGCTGGTCTCACGCACAGCTGCGCCAGACAGCCACTTTATGTGTTTCTCTACTGTCCCCCTTCATCGATGCATGACTCATTGCTTCATTCATGTCTCCATTGTGCGTAGAAACCTAGGCAAGCAGCCATTCCTAGGGACATTGCAGGACAACCTCATTGAGATGGATATTCTCAGCGCCTCCCGCCATGATGGGGCTTACAGTGACGGGTAGGTGACATCCCCATGGTCCTCCTCTCTGTGTTTGCTCTCCCTCTGGCCCCTGCACCTGCATGCAGACCCTGAGACCCTTCCCTGGGATCTCCTGCGGGAGGTGATGATGCCATGGTGCATGCCCATCCCGAAGTCCATGTTCAGCTTGCAAGAGTTTATCCTTGGAATCCCCTCGCTTCAGCATATTAACAGCAGCTTTGTTAATATGCAGCTCCCAGCATCTCATCGGCTGCCTCTGCCATTCTGAAAGCCATCTCGTAGCAGTTTTTATGCAGCATAGGCCCTATGTCGTATGTCTTGTAGCCCTGAGTATCTGTTCTGGGTGCAAGATTGCTCTAAGATTTCAGGGGATGCAATGCAACCAACCAGTGCACCCCATTTCCCAGGCTGTGTACAAATTCTCCCATGGCCATGGTTAAAGGCAAGCTGTGGAGGATTTCCTGACACCTAGTTTGGCCACAACCATGCGCTTTGACCATGCCACGCTGCCCTAAAGACTGTAGCTAGGCTGTAGGATGCATTTGCCTCTCTCTCGTCCCACACAGCTTTCCCCAGGGGTTTGGAAGGTAGCGTCTGGCTTCTGAAAGCATTTGCTGCCATTGGTTGTATAAGAGCCACTGGGAGACTCAACCATGGCAGAACTTAATGGTGGTTTCTTGGTTCCCACCCCCTAAACACCCTTCAAAAAGAATGGTATTTCATGCCTCCACCGAGGCACACTGGCAAAGTAGGTATGGGAGGGAGAAGAAAAATTTAGGTTCCATTATCTCCAAGGCACAGAACATGATTTTAGATACTTTCCAAGTTAGTACCGATAATTAGAGAACAGCTCGTGTAATACCCAAGAAACAGCATCTCAGCCCCATCCCTTCCCAGGAAAGGGGTCTCCACAGCCAGCCTTCTGTGGGGTTGGAAACACCTCCTGCCCTGGCCTGGGCGGGGTGGGGGGGTTCCCCATGGGTAGGGCTGTCCCATCCGTGTTCCGTGGAAGCGTGTGTTCGTGTGCCCTGTTGTGTGGTCCGGTACGTGATTCTCCTCCTCTCCGTCTGCCCCGTCTTCTCCGTGGCGACTGTCTCCAGGCTCCTCTGCATGCTCCTACTGCCGCCTCTGTCCTCCAGGTGGCTCTGGGTCCCAGGGAGTCCGCAGACCCTGACGCCCTCGGGCTTCTCTCCGTCCACAGGCACTTCCTCTTCAAGCCCGGAGGCACCTCGCCGCTCTTCTGCACCACGTCGCCAGGGTACCCTCTGACGTCCAGCACGGTGTACTCCCCGCCGCCCCGGCCCCTGCCCCGCAGCACCTTCGCCCGGCCGGCCTTCAGCCTCAAGAAGCCCTCCAAGTACTGTAACTGGAAGTGTGCGGCCCTGAGCACCCTTGTGCTCTCCGCCACGCTGGTCATCCTGCTGGCGTACTTCGTGGGTAAGCACCTCCCTCGGCCCAGCTTCCCTTCGTTCCCCTTCGCCCAGGGGGCAGCGACCAACACACCTGCACACGCTGCAGGCATCTAGCTGGCGCGACCGTCACGCAGGGTGAGCCATGCAGCCCTGGGGTGCTGGCCTCCACCCCCGAGCCGGTCACGGCCAGCTCTCTGGGATCCTCTTCTCCTCTCTGCACGATGCCCAGAAGGAAGCTTAGCATGAGGCATAGCATCCACTGACTGGCCTTCGAGCTGGTGAGCCAGGACGTGAGTGTCGGAGATGGGCGTCTCCACAAGTGACAGGCCCCTCGGGCTGGTGCCACGTAGCTGCAGTGAGGAGCAGGAAAGATTCGGGGTCCCCTGGGGTTGGACTGGACTCTGCTGACCTCAGCCCGGAAGGCATGTCTGAAGGTGAGGGTCTGGCGAGGCCGTCTGAGGGGACGTGGGCGCCAAGGTGCAGAGTGGAGCCGTGGTTAGGAGCCCAGAGAAATCCCAGCTGAGGAGCAGCAGGTCCCAGTGAGCAGTGAACGCTGGCTACAGGATGCATGGAGACCCCCAGCAGCTCTGACTGGCCTGCCTGCCTGCCCCCAGGCCACCTCCGTGATGGAGGAAATGCCTCCTGGCACGGGAGGCCAGTCAGCTGGGTGCTCTTTTGATGTAGTCCCCACACAGCCTGGTCTCCTGCTTCATTCCAGCCCTTGTCTTCAGCCTGCTCCCAGGGAAGACGGTCTCTGAAGAGATCTGCAGGCGTTGTGTAGAGTCCGCTGCCTCTGTGTAAATCAGCCTGTTAGTAAAGACGTCCAAAGGGGTTGGCTTAACCCTCCGTCCGTTCCAGCCTTCAAATTCTCTCATTCTGAGGTTTAAGGCAGGTCACGCCAGCTTGAGGTGGCCTTCAACCCATGCTGAGGAATTCTGAGATCATTCCATAAGCAAGGAGGACTTCTCCAGTAAAAACCCAGTAACCAGAAACAGAAGTAACTGGCACGGGCCAGAGGAAGACAGAGTGCCGTCCACCGTGGCAAGGGACTCTGTCATAGGCAGAGTCATCGCGAATAAAAACAGGCAGTGTGGTGATGTAGTGTACGCTGTCCTGGGAATGATGAAGGAAACGTGGGCCCCACTTGTTCAGGGGGAGAGATCTGAGCATGGAAGGAGCATTCAAGATTCTTGAATTTTATAGAAATAAGTAATCAGGGAGACGATAGTCCCTCAAACAGGGAGGTCTCCTTATATGTCTCAAGCTATAATAAGCCTTCTTTGATATGCCAGGTCTCTCTTCCCCTTGTGAAGACTGATGTAGAGAATTTCATGGCTCCAGGGCCAAGTTGGCATACGTCTCTTCTCTTCTCTGTGATTGGTTAGCTGTTGCTGCCTAGAAAGCTGTGTTAAGAAGGATCCTGAGGCTATATTCAAGCTCAGTGGGAAAGGGTCTCTGTGTTTGATTAGTAATGTCGGTCGTGGTCACCAGCGTGGGGAATATTGATGACATACCAGGCATTTGCCATCCTTACTGTGGGTCAGTGAGTAAAAGGAATAGCCAAACTGGGAGAGGCCAGAGGCCACCCAGGCCCAGTGAGAGGTAACTGGGTTACAGGTGAGGGCCCTGAACATCCTAGTACCATCACCCAGCATGAAGGTTTCTTCCTGGCACCTGTGCCGTGTCCCTGTAAACCACTAGCACAGCTCTTGTCTTTGGCTGACACTGTGTTTCCTAAATGAGCAGACTTCGGAACAAGCAGTGTCTCTGTGCATCACAAGTCAAGCCGTTGGCTGCATAAAGACATCAGCTTGCGGTGCAGACTTAGGTTTCTACTACGTAGCCTGGTTCAGGAAGAAAGAATACATCTTTGTATGATTACATAAGCTCTCTTCTGTTTTACATCCCATGGGCTTCTTCTTCTCCCATGTAATAAGAATATGGGGTCAGTCTTCAGCAATCTAAATTTAGATAGGCTATACTGGGAGGTAGTGAGCTCCCTGTCGTAGGAAGGGTACAAATAGAGCTCAGTGACCACATAGCAAGGATGAGATTTAAGCACTGACTGGGATTTTTCACTGGATGGCCTTTAATTTTCCTTCCAACACTGGCAGTGTTTGAATCGATGATTTTGTGAATTTTGTTTTTCCTTCAGCAAACCATAAACTGCTTTGGGCTAGGCACTGTGCTAAATGTCAGGGCTAAAGATATGGTCCCTGCCCTTGAGTTGTCCGTAGCTTACAAGAGGAGACAGCTATGTCAGCAGTGAATTGAGGCAGCTCAGGGGCTATTTGGGGAATACCCAACACCAAGAGCACTAGGGGAGGCTCCCTGGGAAGGGCGATGATGCAGTCAGAGTTAACCAGCAGTAGACCTGCAGAGAGCAGCTCTCAAACCCAGGGAAGCTGCAGACTTGAGCGAGGACAGTGTGGTCGTAAGGCCTTTGTCTGTGTTGGAAGCATTTGAAGGATATTGGAGCTAATGCAGGAGAGCTTGGTCAGATCGGGAAGATCACCTTGGGGCCAAGTTACAGACCTTCCTGGATGGGCAATAGGGAGTCATTGAAGGGTTTTAAGCAGTGGCAGGATGTAGTCAGACTTTTTTTTTGGAAAGATAAGTGTAGAGGGAAGAAGGATAGGCCCTATCACAATAAACAGGTCAGGAGAAGCCGAGGGCCTCAGCTGAGAGAGTGGCAATGTAGGTGGAGAGCAGGGAGGTCGATTTAGGAGCATTTGTGTCTCCTGTTACAAGCAGTCAGTCTACTGATAGTGTGTCCTTGCCCAGAATAAACACAGCTTTCTGATAAAACCCTCCCTCTGCAGAAACATTAGGACTGGACCATAGATTGCATATCCAAGGACCAGGTCAGACTGGCAAGACCTGGGTGTTCCCTTTGTTCCCTGGAGACTCGGAGCTTACACCAAACCTCTGACAGCCTTGGATTCCATTCCCAGCTCTGCCACCTGGCTGCTCTCCCACCTTGGGCAGCTCGCTTCTCTTTCTGAGCTTTGATTTCCTGATCTGGAAAACAAGAGTGACCCATTACTTCAGGAGGCTGCGTGTGAGGCTGGAGTAAGCCGATGCCGGTGAATGCGTCGCAGATGCAAGGCCCAGCCCTACCTTCCCTCAGGGGCTGGGGTGGCAGCCTTGGTACGTGGTCTCCTCCAGCTGCTGGGGCCAAGGGATGAGTGTCTTGTTGCTTGGCCGTAATCACAGGCTGCGGTGACTAACTCGTAAGGAACTATCAATTATTAAAAATCAAATTAATTGTCTCAGCCGAGCACAAATATCCTTAACATAGACTTTTGCAGCAGGCCAACTGATCTAATCAACAGGCACAAGCACAGATATTTAATTAGATTTTTGATGAAAAATTGTGTTTAATTTCAAGTATAATCAATTATTAATTACTGTAATGAGTGAGTCTGACTGGGTTTACTAATTAACTCATTTAAAAATTATGAATAACCTTTTCATTTGTAATTATTTTCTACATCCTATCATGCTGCAGATAAGAATCGTATCACTTCACCAGTACCAGGGGAGGTGAAAACAGGGCGGGAAAGAATTGTTCTTTTTCTGCTATCTGCTCAGGGCTGCCATATCTGGAGGGAACCCTGACAGGTTCATTTGACATTTGGTTTTTAGTTCGAAAGTTTCCATTCATTTGCAGAGACATCTGCAGTTACTTTCATAGGAAGATAGAGAAATCGCAGCCAGCACTTAACCACCCACAAGGGCTGCAGGGCCTGGGGCAAGGCCTTCGGGCTGTCCTCCCCACTGCGGGTGTTACTTGGCTGCTCAGGTTTGGAGGGGGGAGTAATGTAGGGACGACCTTTAAGAATCCTGGGGCATCCCGCCAGAGACGAGATGTGTATTTTTGTCTCCAAAGGACACCTGTTCAGAGAGGTAGCTATTGACCCTGAGTGCCTGGCTTTACTGGCCAGTTCTCCCTGTGAAGGCCTTCAAGTATTCGAATACTCTGCCATTTATTTTCTGAAGATAAGAAATCTGTTTGCAGAACAAAATAGGGAGAGCGTGATATGGGGGGAAGATTAGTTAAAAGTTCAAACCAGGAAACTTGCATAGCCCCGGCAATAATGCTTTATTTTATAGCAGTTAATTGTTTTTAAAACATTTTCACCACAAAAGGCAGCGTAGTGTGGTGTAATAAAGATAATAGGGGCCACTTTTGTCATTAATAATGAGAGCCCTTAGCTATGATTGTGCGCTGCCCGTAAGCGCCTCCTGTTCCCAGCACTTTGCCTGTGTTTTCTCATTGAAATCTCCCAAGGATCCTATGAATTAGTCTCCCCAGTTTACAGATGAGGACACTGAGACCCAGTGAGCTGGAGTAAGTCACCACCCTCACCTGGTAAATGGCAGGACTGTGGTCTCCCCAGCCCCAGGCACTCAGGCTTGGGGCTGATGCTTTTCAATTTTTTTCTCTTTCGAGTTCACATTCTTAAACTTTCCCATTGCAGTAGTTGGTATTTTGAGTTTTTGCTGGGTGCCTGGTATGGGTCCAAGCCCATTATGTCATCTCTCTGAACACTCACAACAGTTCTGTCAGGTAGGTTTTATTTTCTCTATTTTCTAGAAGAGGAAACTAAAGCTCACAGAAGTTAACACCTAGCCAGGGTCACAAAACGAGTAAAGGCCCCAGGATTTTAAAGACCGTGCTCTCAGCCACTATGATGTAGCTTCAGGGCTTGAACAGATGATATAGAATCAGAAGATCCCACTCAGGCTCAGCTCCATCACTTCTTGACAGTGTGAACTTGGGCAAGTTGCGTAACTTCTCTGAAGCTGTTTCCACTCAGGTTCCTATAGTGGCTGTGGCTGGAATGATTCCCCCATTTTACACCAGGAGGAATTTGTAGCAGCGTGCTTCAGAAATCATGGGCTCTGAAATTAGGCTGCCTGCTGCTGACGTGCCTTGTGACTTTAGGCAAGTTTGTTTAACCTCTGTCAGCCTCAGTTTACCCATCTGTAAAATGAGGGTAATAATAGTGGCTACTTCAG